ACTGGCGTCCATAGGTCACAAAATAAAGTACTAACCCCTGGCCCCCTGTTTCTAAAATAAAACCTGAAGAAATCTCTTTGTTGATTATTATATATTTAATTCAGTGATCATTCCAAACGTTTTTTGATGTCCTCAGTCACAGGCGTGTGTCTGTCCACTAGTCACACAGAAACACGGCTTTCATAATACACGATATCGTACGGGATAGAATTTATTGACTTACCACTGATTGCGTTCTCCTACAGTGACAAACGGACATTGTTTGTGTTCCGCCGTCCTGCTGAGTAAATGTTTTCTTCCAGTTCCCTAAACCATGTCGGATGTGAGAGGTTTAAGAGACAGTTCATACTATACATTTTGTCTCTTAAATGTGCCATCCACTTCGTCCTGACATTTTAACAGCAATAAGATTCTCAAACGGCAAACGTGGGGGATGAGTGAGGCCGGGAGGCTATTTTGTTGTTTGTAACAGCAGAAGGACATTGTTAGATTAATATTGAGAATAAAGGTACAGCATAGATAATAAACAGAGATCGAGAGGGATTTTAGATACAAGGAGAATACATATCGTCTATAACATAAACCTCAGAGACTGGAGGAAGATACAGTGACCGAGTTTGTACTGACTGATGGGAGATACAAAACGGGGAGAACCTAGCAAGAAACATATTCTTAAAGGGTTACTCCAACCACCATAGCCTCCTTGCTCTCTCCACCGAGTCCTCCCTGCCATCCCTGGCTCCCTATATTTCTTATAATAGGAGGGCATTCTAGGATAAAAAAAAATAAATAATAATAATATTTAAAGAGTGTTAATGTAACCCTTTAAAATTAGGGAACCTTGATACAACGGGCGAAAGGCCTACAATTCCCATGATTCTCTGAGAGCCTTAAATCCCCCTCCCCCCCACAATAGATCTTTAGGGGAGAAAAGTCTGCGTCTACAAATAGCAATGGTCAGTGATAAAATATCTGCTTATTATACAAAGCAAGGATAAAAACTAATATTTTGGACAGAAGTGATTGCGTAGATGTTTAGTGTTGGCCAGATTAAAAATAGTGTTTTTTTGTTTTTGTTTTTTTGTTTTAACAGAAAGGGTTACCGTATATACTCGAGTATAAGCCGACCCGAATATAAGCCGAGTTGTATTTGACTCGAGTATAAGACTAGGGTGGGAAATGCAGCAGCTACTGGTAAATTTCTAAATAAAATTAGATCCTAAAAAAATTATATTAATTGAATATTTATTTACAGTGTGTGTATATGATGAATGCAGTGTGTGTGTATGAATGCAGTGTGTGTGTATGAATGCAGTGTGTGTGTGTGCAGTGAGTGCAGTGTTTGTGTATGAGTGCAGTGTGTGTGTGAATGCAGTGTGTGTGTATGAGTGTAGTGTGTGTGCATAAACGCAGTGTGTGTGTGATGCAGTGTGTGTGTGTGTGTGATGCAGTGTGTGTTTGTGTTGCAGAGCCTTGGTGGGGGGTGGGCATTTTTATAAAAAAAATTAATTATTATTTTAATATTTGTTATATTATTATTTTTATTTATTATTATTTATATTTATGTATTATTATTAATTTATTTATTTTTTGTCCCCCCTCCCTGCTTGATACATGGCAGGGAGGGGGGCTCTCCTTCCCTGGTGGTCCAGTGGCATTGGCAGTTCAGTGGGGGGAGGAGGGGGGCTGGCAGAGCTGTTACTTACCTCTTCTGCAGCTCCTGTCAGCTCTCTCCTCCTCCGCGCCGGTCCGTGCAGCTCTTCTGTCAGCTCACACTGTAAGTCTCGCGAGAGCCGCACTATGACCCCGCGGCTCTCGCGAGACTTACACTGGGAGCTGACCGAGGTGCTGACCGGACCGGCGCGGAGGAGGAGAGAGAGAGGAGGGAGCTGACAGGAGCTGCAGGAGAGGTAAGCGCTCGCTGCCAGCCCCCAGTCTGTATTATGGCAATGTAAATTAATGTAAATTGCCATAATACAGACTGACTCGAGTATAAGCCGAGTTGGGGTTTTTCAGCACAAAAAATGTGCTGAAAAACTCGGCTTATACTCGAGTATATACAGTAGATATTTTAAATAGAGAATCATTCTGCTTTATCGCCAGCTATCGCACGTTATGTCCTTTAAACTAAATCCATGTATAGCAGCAGCCAAACACAGCCCGGTCAGTGACCAGAAACCGCAAACAAGGAAAGTAAGGCTGCAACGGGTGAGAACGTTAAAAAATTAAAATGGATCACTACAAAACAGGTTACTTCAAAGAAAACCAGTGTTTTAAAAACGAACCATCCAATTAAGACATTCGGAGCACAGACAAGTCATGCCCATATTTCAGATTATGGCACAATGAGATCCCATCTCCTTACATATGGTCCTTTACCCTCTGACGTCCAATTAAGTAGCTGTGTTTCGTCCTTCGCTCAGCATTTATTATTATTATTATTATTTACTATTATACTTTATTTGGAATTTAAAAATTATAAATCGCTTCCAACATGACGTGTCCCTTTAAAAATAACCGCATCCGTGTTCATTAGCCAATGAAAATGCACAGTACAACTACTGACACCCGGAAAGAGTAGCTTAGCCAATGAGGAGCAGGGGGAGGCGCTTACTGTTTACCTAAAGAAAACTGATGTTTGATTTTTTTTTTTTTTTAAATGTTTCTTTTTTTGTTGTTGTGTTAACTTTAAGATATCCGTGTTCCTTTAAGATATAAATTTCCAATATCAATAACAAATACATATTGTGTGTTTGGAGCTTGTTTGGGCTTTTATCGGACTATTTCAGGCTGTGGCCCTAGCTAGTGGTCTGTACATTCCCGAGATTAAAGTAGGACATTTCACATCCACAAACCCAGACTGGACGATTCCCCGGGATCGCCAAATGGGCTATAAAAAGCAGTCCGTAGGGAACAAATTGGCTCACGGCGCCAAGCTGCCAGATTTCAGGAGCTTGTTAGTACTAAATAAGCCTGAAAATTAGACGAGCTGATCACGGATTCATATTTTATGATTTTGTTATAGGACATGCATCATTTTGTAGGATTTTTTGCCTCCTTGCCAGCTGTCAGATGGAGCTGACAAACAGCGGCGAGGCTGACATGCTATGTGACTAAATCGAATTGCATCAGCATATGGTTTGGTCAATCAAATTATGCTAAATAAGACAATATTATTTTTTTTATCTGCTGTATCAAGTAAAATCTGTAGCTATTTTTGATCTAGAAATGTTCGTAGAGGCTCTCATCAGAAATCTATCTGTCTTAGTCTTGACAAATAATGTGATCTGAGAGAATTATCTCGGAATAATCTCCATGTTCCCGTGGTTAGCAAAGCATTGTCACAGCTCTATTATGCGGAAATGCTGAGATTTTAGGAGTAAACAGCAACTGTTCAAATACACAATCAGAATAAAACATCACAAGACGTCAACTCGAAAAATATAGCTTTAGATATAGTCTGTGTGTTTGTGTTCATATTACACTATATGTGTGTGTGTGTGTGTATAAATATGTGTGTATAAATATGTGTGTGTCTGCGTGTGTGTAAATATATGAGTGTGTGTGAATATATGTGTGTGCGCGTAAATATATATGTGTGCGTGTGTGTGTGTAGTATTTGTTAACCTCTACCACGGTGTAAGCCTTCCTGTGTGAGTGCATTCACACGTTATATATCATTTTAAAGGAGAAATAGTGATTTCTTTGATACCATACACATGTATACATAGTACAGTATTAAAGAGGAATAAACTATTAAAAAGATTATAAAAACTAAAACACTTTTCATAATTTCTACAGACCAAGTGTAATTAAACATTCCTAACGAGAATAGTTAAAATGATTGACTAATTAGCCCTGATTGTTAAAATACTCACTATGTGTAGGATTTCAATACATTGTTAAAAGTTATAAAACAAATACCGCAAGGAGTAAATTATGGGTTTAAAGCTGAAACTTTGCTAAATTTGGCATATTGAGATTACAAATTTAATAGTAGTCACAGAATTCTAAACAAAAGTGTAGTGGAGATCCAGTATTCCACAAGTTATCTCCGCTTAAGATCCCAGTGAGGCTCAGGAACAAGTAGTTATAAATCCATAAAGCAATAATTCCAGCAGGCAAGACAATTTAATAATATCCCAACATCAATCCCAATGACTGGACGACACACAGCATCAGGAGCAGAACTAAAAACCTTTATTTCACAGTGGCCTTATAAAGCATGCTCCCATGCAAGGGAGGGATTTCCATTAATTAATACAGTATCCAATCCGGTACTAGTATCCTCCCACACATCTCCTCCCCTCAGCCTGACTCATAATCCCCTTATAATGTACACAAATTCCCCCAGTTTCTGGATGCACCCCTGAACCTAGGGGTACCCCTTTAAATGGCACATCCCCTGGTAGCCCTGATCTGGGTGAGCAACATATCCAAAAATCACCCAGATCGGACCAGGGGTTTGGGAAATTCATGGAGGTAATAAAAAGACCGACTGCGCTGGAGAGAAAAGCCGAATTGGGCTCCATGCGGTCGGTCACAGTATAAGGAAATAAATTTCACGAAAGGCTAAGGCTACAGAGATCAGGTTTGCATAAATCCCCTCGTTCGGTTGTTTCTGTCTACCGAACGAGGGGCCGTTCGGTAGTTTGGAACCGAACGGACCGGGCTTGTGGAGGTCTCAGCGGTGTTCGCCTAGTCGAGTGTCCGATTTGGGTTCCAGACACTCAACGACAAAACACCGCTGTTCAGGAGTTTTAAAATGGCTGCCGCCACGTGTTCGTGTCCAGAATGGCGGCCACCCAGAGAACAAAGGACCTACTGCACAGCTTGTTAATTACCCATTCGCAACATTGTTGCAACGGGTAATTGAAGGCACACTTCACGCGGGGGAGGTCTGATTGTTCGGTAGTTTCATTCCCTTAGTTTATTCGAATGATTCTACCGAACAATCAGACGAATACACGTTATTTAGACACATATAAACCAGCAATTTACCCGAATACAGTTATACACATGTAATTTTCAGGACAGCCCAGTGCCATCCGCTACAAAAAGTATATATTTGTAGACATCTTACCCCCCAGGCTATGTGACTGAGAGAATTTTGAGATTTTCCATTTCACCATTTCATCACAGACCTAGTTCAAAATATTATGGTTTTTTAAAACATGTTTTATTTGGGACAAAATATTCACTGACCACGCTGGCCCCACTACTGCAAACACCCCATATTTGTATTCTGCTACTATTTTGGATTATAATGACACCCAGAATGTATACCTTTCCCCTACTCTTAATCCTAATTCAACATCTTAATCCTAATTCAGCGGTGTTCGCGCAAATAAGTGTCCGGTTACAGTTCCACAGTTTGGGCGCTGAACACCACTGGCCGTTCGGGACTTTAAAATGGCCGCCGCCACATGTTCGGCAACCGAACAAAGGCCACCCAGCATTCGTCAATTAAGCTGCGGTTAACCGCAGTTTCTGGGAAGTTAATTGCCGACACACTCCAGCTCCCAGGTGGTCCAGTCATTCGTGCGTTAGTTCGGTAGATTGAATCTACCGACCGCCGGGCAGAAAGGCACGAATAAGCCTTTTCTGCAGGGGAAAAGAAGTCTTTTAACATGTGGCCATAATCCAAAGGCAACAGACGAGCAACCAGGCTTCTCCAATGCAATGTGGCAAGATTGCTCTCGTCACATCTCTCCCCTTTTCCAAACAGACTAACAGGGTATCTGACCTCCTGCCGGTCAGTGCCCTTGTTAGTCCAGCAGCCCACCCACAACACACAATCAGCAGTACAGCCCACCCACAATAAATGGTTACTACACCTGGGTAGAAGAGAAGCTTGTCCATGTCCAGGTGCCTCACCACAGCTGTGCAGGGGACTGGTAGGCTGCTTTGGTGGGTTGCTGAGTGGGCAGAGACCAGCGGTACTCTGCCCTGCTGCCAGCGCTACTTTGGAAGTAGCCTGGTTGGAGCCTGGTTGCTGGAGGGCGAGACCAACTGTCTCCCTTTTTAGATACACAGCTCCGTTGCTGAAGGGGGAGACCGACTGTCTCCCCTTTGGCTAAACAGCCCTGTCGCTGGGGGGCAGAACCGACCATCCCTACCCCCTGTGCTGTAAATGCAGAGACCACGGTCCCATCTGCACGGTTGTGGGGTTTACTGTCCCCCGCTGGTACGTTAAGCTGCCGCTGGGGAGAGGGGGTAAAAAGCTCCTCTCCCATTCATACTTCCAGTCGCGGGGGAGGGAGACCGACTGTCTCTGCTCCCAATACAGAGTCCTGCTGCTGGGGAAAGGAGACTGGGCTCCCAATTCCCAATAAATCATACTGCCGCTGGGGAACGGAGACCGGGCTCCCAATTCCCTGTAATTCACACTGCCGCTGGGGATCTGAGCCGACTGCCCAGCATCCCTGTAGCTCATCCTGCCAGTGGGGAGGGAAGACGCTGCTCTCCTCTCCCTGCAAGGTACACTGCCGCTGGGGGACAGGACCAACTGTCTCTGTCCCCTGTAACTCAGCCTGCCGCTGGGGAATGGAGACTGGGCTCCCAATTCCCTCCAGTACCTGCCGCTGGAGTTCCTCCCAACGTGCCAGCTGACCTCTTTCTGCCCGGTATTGCAGATTCATGAACACTCGGTCCCTCATGGACTGCACGTATTTCTCAGCTGGATTGGTTTTGAAGAACTTCAGCCGCAATTCCATCATATCGTCAAACTCTCTCCTTGAGTAGCTGTACTCCACTGTTGGTTCCATCCTGGTGCTGTCAGGGTCGCTGTACTCAGACATGCGTTGCCCTCAATTTGTAAATCCAAAGAAATGATGTCTCCTGTAGCTGTCCTTCTGGCTGTGGGAACGATCCCGCCGCTTGCCACCAATTGTAACGGCACCCCCAGGCATAAAAGGGTTAAACCGCAGTTTAGAAGATCTTCCCCTTCCAGAGATACAGGCACAGCTACTGCAGAAAACCCAACTCCCAAACCGCATGTAAGGGAATGCTCCAAACTCCCGAACTACATACAAAATAGCACTCCAAACTCCTGAACTGGAACCTCACGAATAGCTGCTAGCAGACAAACAGGAAAAGCACCCAAGCGGCTTACACTCCTGGCAATCAGTCTCTAACAGCATACAGTAAATCCCCCAAGAACGAGACAGAGCTCCGTGTTGAGGGTCAAGCAGTGGTCTGTTTAATGAGGACTACCTGCCCAGTATTTATGCAGGTCTCCCACCTGGTGGACACTCCCCTAGGGGACCAAATGGGAGACTGTGACAAAGGACAGACATTAACCAATGGCAGACACACAGAGGTAAAACATCCCCACAATGCATCCTAACTTCCCTCCCTCTGTCCTGGAGATAATTGGGACGTAATCAAAACTCCATTACCCACACGGTTACAGTAAAACACTAAAACACAATAAAATACACAATATTACATTTATCACACAAAATATATACTTGCAACCCATCCCCAGATAGCTGGGATCTGAGCGCACAAAAGCACCGAATAGCTCTCAGATCCTATGCACACAGTCCAATCGCCGTGGAGTTAAAGTGTTCCTAAAGTCTGTTCTCCATACGAATAGACTCCACGGGATGGCTATCTGGGGTAATGGTGTTCATACGGTTTAAACTACCGAATGAACAGGCATTCAGTTAACTGACCGAATGCAGAAGCAAGGAGGCTGACGGCTCAGCGGTGTTCGCGCAAATAAGTGTCCGGTTACAGTTCCACAGTTTGGGCGCTGAACATGGTTAAATAGTATAACTTTCAGGCCAGTCACCGTAGGATTGAAATTTGTATGTATGATTTTATTATAATAATTCTTAGCGCTGTCCATCTAATTTACTATCTTGTTTTGTTCTATTGTTCACAAGGTAAAAGGAACTCCTTGTTGGTGAATAGCTGCTTTATTGGATAGAGAGCACTTATCACTTTTTTCACTATCGTAGAATTGATGACTAACTTTCTAAAATGGTCAGAATGCTAACATACTGACTGAGCATTATGGGAACTGTAGTTCACAGACATCATTTTGAGGGTTTATTTACTAAATTGTGAATTGCTGTGAAACCTCCTTTCATGGGGCATTTACGGTATAACTGATCTAACCGCAGACTACATGAAGCTCCTTACACCGCTTGCATTTCACTGATTTAATTCAGACCCCGGCCTGCTGGCACCCCGTGGTTTGTTTTGTTAAACAAATAAACAATAGTCTTCTAAAGACTGTTAATAACTGTGGCGTCTCGCACATTCTGCTCGCAGTGTTAACGGCGGCTGTTTATATATGCAACATATGTACGCTACTTCTAGGGCAAACTGCTATGATTACATGTTCCGTTTACAGGTCCTTATACAATATATATAATAATAATCTGCTTTAATGATCCTTGAATGTAAATCAATCAGTGTCCTAATGCTGTTATCTCTGAATATAAATCAAAATTTTAAGAAACAGTGCATTGAAGAAATGCTTATGTAAATGTAGCAAATATTAGATTAAAAAGGAAATTAAAACAATCATTGAAGGGCTTATTCCCCAAATAGTGAAATAACTAAACCACAAAACCGCCTAAAATAGACATTCCGTAACTATAATCAAGCATTTTCCATACTGAGATTTTTTCCCCCAAAATGTTGCTTTGAGTGTTTCAGCTCACGCCCAGCGTAGTTTAAGTCTGCTCACTTAACGGGCATTTCACCCAGTATTCCAAGTCCTCAGTAGTGGCAAAACACGATAACAAGTGCAGGCATTTTAATAGCCCACCCGTACGGCTAACTCATTGATCTAAAGTGACGTGATGTCTCCATAGTAATGGAGTATACAATATTTCATGGTTATTTCTATGTGTACACAGAACCCAAGGCTATAGCGCAGCCAAGTGAGCGATACTTAATGTTAATCCTGGGGTGTATGGTCCATTTGTGTTGTTTTATTTAAGTGCATGAGTGCTACACGTGGCTTCGTGACATTCACGCTCTGTGCTTCATACATGATCAAAGACAAGTATTGCCATTGTACGAGCAGAGAGTGCCTGGACGATCACTATATCCTCGTAATGAACACATGGCGTTCTGTCCTTTATCTCGCATCGACCTATAGCAGAGAGCGTGAATTTATACTGACCTGGGAACATGAAGAGCTGCCATTAATGGTGTGCGGGGGACGCTGAAACCAAGTCCAGGCGTACGACATAACGTCATTCACTCCCGATACAAACACTCTGCAAAAACTCATGTTACATTATGTTATATCTGAAATTAATTCCCACTTCAGTAGATAAACATGTGAATCTCTTTCTTATTTTAATTCTCTCTCTGTTACCTCTTACTCTCTGTCTCCCCATTCTTTACCCACTCTCTCTCCCACGCTCTCTCCCTCTATATTCATCCTCTGTCACCACTAACTCCCCCACCACTCTCTTTTCTTCTCTTGATTTGTCATCAGTTATCTTGCATTGCCGAGTGTGAAAGTGTGTGTGTATTCCATATGTGTGTATGTGTATGTACTGTATATTCTATGTGTGGATATTGTGTATGAGTGTTTATGTATGATCTGTGTGTTTGTATAATATATGTGTGGATACTGAATGTATGTGTGGGTATGTATGTTTTGTGCGTATGTAGGTTGTGAACAATAAATCCTTGCCGATTAAGATTAATTTATTTATTCTGTTGTAACCCAGCTCTAATCCAACATAACATGTATGTATACTGTGTGTATGTATATTCTGCCTGTGGATACTGTGTGTGTGTGTGGATACTGTGTGTATGTGGATACTGTGTGTGTGTGGATACTGTATGTGTATACTGTGTGTGGATACTGTATTGGTGTGGATACTGTGTGGGTGTGGATACTGTATGGGTGTGGATACTGTGTGTGTGTGGATACTGTGTGTGTGTGTGGATACTGTGTGTGTGTGTGGATACTGTGTGTGTGTGGATACTGTGTGTGGATACTGTGTGTATGTGGATACTGTGTGTATGTGGATACTGTATGTGTATACTGTGTGTGGATACTGTATTGGTGTGGATACTGTGTGTGTGGATACTGTGTGTGTGTGGATACTGTGTGTGGATACTGTATTGGTGTGGATACTGTGTGGGTGTGGATACTGTATGGGTGTGGATACTGTGTGTGTGTGGATACTGTGTGTGTGTGCGGATACTGTATACTGTGTGTGTGTGGATACTGTGTGTGTGGATACTGTGTGT